TTCAATGACATTTTCTGGATAGGTTGAGGAGTTGCTGTTGGAAGACGTTTAGGACAGAGAGACCTGAGAGCCAATCCATTCACAGGTTTGGTGAGATCAGGAGTGTCTGAGCATCACCTAGTAACTCATTTTCATTAACTGGCTCTGCTGATCTGAGAGTTAAGCTGGTACCTGGTATATTGGGAATGGCTGCAAGATCCAGGTTCTTGTTATCACTGAATTGGATAATTTCAATATATTTGGCTGAAAATATTTTTTCATAAACAAATAAGATACTGGGTACATCCAATTTCTGTTTGATACTATGTCTAAGATACTGTCTGTGAATTTCATTTATTGCTGATAATTTCACCCACTTATGAATATTTCAATTTGATATACTTATTCACCTTGTGCTACTCTTACTTTTTAATACTTTTTTCTCAGACATATGACTTTCTCTGTTACTCTTATCACTTCCATGAAAATTCACTACCTGCTGAATATTTCAATGTCAAAGTTGAAGCATTTTCTCACCAGTCTTAATAAAAATGACAGGTGTACTGTACCTTCAAATAATACCTTTGAGGTCACTAATCTCAGTTAATTTCCTATCATAAAATTCTAACATTCAAGTTAAATCCTTTATCTACATTCACATGTTGCTTAACAGTAATGTTTTTAGTGTAATTCATGGTGCATAACAGTTATAAATGACAGTATGTAATGTTCATATACATTGTCACACACACACTAGTAACTTAAAAAAGACTGTCTTAAGCTTGCACAAAAATTACTTTATTAATTTTCTCAAGTTATGTTATGCAGGCTATACCTTGATGGCTACAGTATAATTCTATGTTTAGGTAACATGAAATACATAAACATTGGTATAACTCAGCTAAACTAAAACTTTTCAGATATAATTCTCACAAGCCAGAATTAATATTCAAGATGTTACTAGTGTAATGAAGAGAATCTAGTGAGGATCATGTGGTATGCCTTGTTGAGCCACTTTGCAACACCAGGTGAGTGGTTCTCTCAAAATGTCATACAACATTTCACCTCTGAAAATCAATCATAAAGCAAACCCTTTCAGTTATTGACAATTCAACCACATGACCAAACTAGCTTATGATAATCAAGCAGCCATGGCCTTTAGATATCTCTTAATGAAATTTTGCTAAATAGCTGAAAAGGCAAGGAGTGCAACAAACTTTCAGCCGAGTTTTTGAACTTCTTGCTACAATCTTCAGAGTGCAAATTGTTTATTTTGTTCATTCCAGCCATTCTAAATTCTAATAATTGACATCTGCTATAACCTGATATGTCTCTTATTGTGAAACTGCTCATTTTGGTCCTGTTAATTTTCACGATCAATAGATCATCCTAACTTATTTTGATAATCAATCCCAGCCATATTGATCAGGAGTCCATCGAGAGTGGTATGCCTGACTGTTGGAAATGCCCCTTGGTCAGGCTTGGATAAAACATTGTTTTCTGACTCATTGTTTCCTCCTTTGATCCTTTGTAAAACCAAAGTACAAGATGTTCATCGGTAGTGTATGGCCACACCTGTAACTTGTACATCAATAGACAGACTCATCAGAGCACAAGATAAGGTCCTGTCCAGCCAGATCCCAGCTGCTTCCATGCCGCTGGCACGTACCAAAGCCACACCCAGTCTCTAATCTGGTACATCCTTCCTTTTACTGTTTTATCATAGTACCTCTTCTAGCATTCATGTCTAGTTTATCGTAATTCACCAGAATGAAGTTGGGATCCACTAGCCAAAGTGGTAGCTTTACAGGAACATACCAAGCTTCACTCAGGCCTGAGAGAGCTGGACTGACTACAGAACCTTGTTTTATGGCAGGGTATGTCCAGTTCACTTTATATTAACCCAACGTTTCAAAGGCAAAGTAGGTGCTTTTTCTTCTTTTTTCCATAACTTTATCTGAACAAAAACAACATCAGAATAGGCTGTGGCATAAACACTGTGAAAGAACTGGGATAGTCCTGCCCATTCACTGGATACCATTGTGGTTGTACTGCAGTACTGGATGTATGGATGACTGTTTAACCCCAGCATGACGGAGGTAGCTGGATAAGAAAATTTGTTTGGGGTATAACCACTGGATTTGCCACTTTTTCCTCTCCTGCAATGGTTCAGAGTTACCATTTTGTATCTTGTCATGACAGAATATGCTTCTGTAACGGTGAGAATCTCTCTTACACCTAGGTCATGTCTCATTGTCTCATGAATTAGGCATCAAGAATTCTTTGCAGTCTGAAGAGGGCATTGCAGGGTAGGGCTTACCATGCAACTGGTACATATTGTTCATGTAAATTGCCAAGCTTTCAATGGCATCCCATCCTTCAGTCCTCGGAGTCCAAAACTTGGGCCAGTGGGTGGCTCAATTTTTCACTGAGTCAAACCATCAACATGACTCAGCAGCAACTGTTTCACAGTCTCATAGTTGTGCATTTCTCAAGTGCTTGACAGAGTCTAGGGCTGGAATGTCTAGACTCAAGATCAAGCATTGGGTTATCTGTTCTAGACGCCAACCATTCCAGGCAATTACTTGCCTGAATTGCTTCAGGAAACAGTTCAAGTCTTCTTTTTCTGAACTCTTGAATATCAGTGCCATAATTTGCTTTACATCACTCATTATGGCTTGGTGGCCACAGCATCTTCCCCATAAACTGTCAACCAAAACCTGGCTGAGATGACATGAATATAGGGTGGTAGGCATACTTTTGCTCCCTGACCTTTCTAAACCTAATACACAAGAGTTGGAGCACTGGATATACACATCAGCAGAAAACTCCACAATAATCCATGATTGAATCCTGGTCATGATACCAAATGTTTCACCTTTCTATCTAGTCTGTGGTATTATCAGGTAACACTGATTTCCCTCTAGAGTGACAAGATAGTGTGTGCAAATAGCAGGAGATTAGTCAATATATTTATCATAAAATATCACTAACTGAGTTCATAATAAGCAAAGAGAGGTTGGGCACAAGTGTAGAAACACAGTGTTTGTGCACTTACTTGTGACAAGAGACTGTCACTTTTACTGAAGGGCTAGATCCCAAGCTATTTTCCTCTCCAGAGTTATTCTATATACCTACTCAGTTGAAATCTTGTACCAGACTGAATAAGCATCATGCAAGTTAATTAAGACTGTCATCACACTCACACTGAGCAACTTACACTACTCACATGAGTGGCTGTTTCCATTGAAACATAAGGGAGGTCATAACCTTCAGGATATCACATGACTACCAATGGAAAGCGTTATGTACAACCTTACAGCTTTCTTTTCCATGAGGAAGCCAGTGGCACAGTGGTATGTCTGTGGACTTACAACGCTAGAAACCAAGTCTTGATACCTGTGGTGGGCAGAGCACAGATAGCCCTTGTGTAGCTTTGTGCATAATAAAAAACAAACAAACAAACGATCCACGAGGAGACGAGGTGTTGCCTTACGTGAATGATGGAAAACAACTGGCAGCTGGAGTGACACCAACTTCATGACTTTCTTGACCATGTTATTTGAAAAATTCACATATACCTACATAAATGAATAATTTTGAAAAGTTACTATATTAAACTAAGAAGGTAGAAAATGCATGGTATGTCTAAATGCCACAAATGTAATGAATTTTATGAAGCTATTTTTTTTTCATTCTTTAATATGTGCAAGTTTTACTTGCCATCAGGTACTTAATAGTATGGAATAATTTTATTTGTATAAATCCTAGCAAAAATGCTTTTTGTATACCCAACTATCTTCTGGTTTTGAGACAAGGTCATTATGAAAGTTTCCATACCTAAAGTATAACAGGATCACAGGATTTTTGCACTGTAACTGCGTCTTCTGTTCTTGAAGGTCTAACTAAAGCAGATTTGACAAACAAAAGATATCTGAACTTAAAATTGCTAATCTTAATGAACTGTCCCAGTTTCATGCTAACCCTATGTGGGGGTCAAAGTGTGTATGCTAAGACATTTAACATGGTATTATGTATTTGATGTTAGAGTTATCAACCATTCATTTTACCCTACATTACTAATTTAGCAATAGATCATGGTGGAGGAGAGTAAGCACTAGATACAGTATACAGGGATACTGAAAAAAAAACTATAGAGGGAATGTCAGGGGTTCTAGAGGTTTTTGAATTGCAATATGAAAACTGTATGATGGATAAAAATATTTTTATTCTTTACATGGGCATCATCTTGACTGTAACTTGTCAAAGTCTAGGTCAGACTGACGTGATCAATTCATAGACGTATTCTGAAAACATGTACTTTTGTAATGCATCTGATTTTTTGTGTACAACAGACTTGTACATTTTACTAAAAGCTCACCACATTTCATGTAGATACGTTTAGTATATTCAGAACTGTAGTCAGTATTCCTTCTCCATTATGGGGTTGACCCAATGGACTACCCCCCCCCCCCCTGCACATTCTGTTAATGATTTTAACTCAGCTAAGATGTGAAGTTATTAATTCAAAGTATTTTCTTGTTTAAGCCTGATTTCATACATTTGTAAGTGAATGACATGAATGATTTAATAATTTGGATTATAAATCACAATCACTGGATGAAAAAAATATTTACAGCTCACGGAATCACTGGTTTATAAAAACCAATTGAGGTTAAATATCAATGTCAAGATGGAAAAACATTTCAAATGTGGTATTTGAGAGAAAATGTTAATATTTTAATTATTATATTACAGTCCCATCAACCAGAATCTGGTAACCAATTTACTCTCAATGACTTGAAGTTATCATTGATAAGCATATTCGTCAAAGTTGTTCTACATGGAAAATGCAGCTAACAGTGATTATGTTAATATTGGTGTTAACCATGAATATATATACATACTCAATTTTCTCTTTTTTTTCATTCAAGTCTGTTAATAAATTTGTATGCTTAAAATTATTGTAAATGCTGAAAAGTTTGAAATGGGTAAAATTTTAATATAATTTTTTTTTTTAGCGTGAGCCAAAAACGTACTTGGAAAGATCGGCAGACTTATGACAATCGCAATGGTTATGTTTATGATTACAGTCCAGGATTTAGAGATCGAGTTTCTCCTCCACGATCAGGTTATATGCCAGCACCCCAAGTGGACAATGTCCAGCCCCCAACATCAGCAGGACCTCCTCCTTATGCAGCCCCACAAGATGTTCCTCCAAGCATGGGATCACAACCCCTTCCAAATGGCCCATCAGAATACACACGGCCACCACCCTACTTCTTTCCAGGACCATGAATGTGTATGATATCCATGATCAGTGTTTTGTAACTAAAATTGAAAACTGTTTAATATTGGTGCCTAAATATAGCATTAGCTCAGTAGGTCTCGTAATCCAACTGAAAGATTTAGCCCTTTTACCTATCCATTTCTCAAGGTGGTTTAGAGATATAAGGTTTTATTATTAATATTTTTTTCAAAAAATATCAACTTATGTTTTCAGCATTTCATCTCTCCACATTTTTCTTGTAAATCATGGGAACATTTTTATAAAAGTGGTGATTTCACCGGTGGAAGGTCATGTGTGTAAAGTGTAGTTTTATTGGATATGAAAGTGTAAGGTTGTTATATTCACAATTACAAGAAATAAGTTACATATAAGCAGATGGATCACATTGAATTATGATGTATATAACTTTTTTTTTTGATTCAGAAGAAAGATATTTGAACTTATCATCATTTTTTTTTTTAAATTGAGTAAAATTTACAGTTAGCAATAAGGGCTTTGTAAAACAACTGTACTAAGAGTAATTGCTCAAGGTTATGGAACATATCAGTGTATTGAAAAGACTGGGAAGCTGTGAGTAGAATTATTTACTCTACTACCGACAACCAAAACAACGTGAATGTGATTAGACCCGAGAACTTATGATTTTATTGTGTGAGTTATTATGTTATTCTTGTAATTTCAGAAACTATTAGTAAATCATGTTTTGATTACAGTTTTACATTTGAAAGCTTTTCTCTGTAATGTATTAGGCAAAATACTTTTTATAAGTAAACTTCTGTCAATTTTTATTCTAAATTGTATATGTATATTATGTTTTATGATGTTTGTGGTGTAATTACAGTATGAAAAGTGATTATGGTTTTGATTTTTTGGTAAAATATATATACTTCATTTTAAATCGATATTAGAGAAGATGCAAACATCTTCAGTTTTTTTTTAATGTTTTATTTTATGCCAATAATGCCATATTAATTATGTTTTTTAACAGTTGACTAATCATTCTGTAACAGAAGCTTGCATTTGTCATTGTAATTTATTTCAGTAACAAACAAAACTTTATTTTAGTAAGATCGTTATTGATAGCTCAAAAGAAAAAAAAGGATAAACCAAAGAAAGACTGGTAAATTGACTTTCTTGTCACTAATACAAGAAAATCTTATTTTGACAAAGTACTGGTATGTTTATGATTATTATCATCATCTCATCCTCACTGTTAAAAGAAAATTGATTTAAAGCAAAAGAATGCAATGAAAGGTAAAGAATCTACAAGTTTTTTGCAAATAGTGATGGATCAAGTCATAAAATTAATTTTTCTATTTTTCTCTGATAAAACGCACACATTACTGCTTGTCCTTCTCTCAGAGTTTTATAGTCAGATATTGTATTTTTGTACTGTAATGAAAAAAAAAAAATGGAAAGTTTTGATGGCTAAACTGAAATGAGTAAATATTAAGACACAGAAGTAACATCCATATGCATATATTCAAATATATAACTTTATTGAAGTCAAACATTTTTCTGGTTAATTTATTTGCTGCATTAACCTTTTGTTTTGTGTCCTTTTTTCCCCTGTGAATCATATTTCTCTCTGGATTGAGAAATAATGAAATTATATTTATATAGTAACCATCAAAATTCACTTGTTTATTCATCTCAGTGTAAATAAGAAAATCAGAGTGAATGTTTACACTCCAAACCTTTTTTTTTTCAAATCTACAAGGATCACTGTAGAGGACATTTCTTTGCTCCCTTTCATCTGTACTTTGCTGTTTTCTGTTGTGTGTCAAATTCTTCTTTGTAATGTTTTATTTCTAGCCAAGTTTAGTTTCTTAGAAAATTAAATGTGTTTACAGAAAATGATGTATTAGTTAGAACAGTTTCATTAGTGTACTGAAAGAGTTTAGTTAAACCAATTTTCCAACAATGGAATTGTTATGTTCAGGTATCAATGTTTTTGTCCACTTGACAAAAGTGAATGGGAAGCCTATGGCAACAACAGTCAGGTTCAAATTGGTTCCTGGTTTAATTTCATACTTCTTAAAATATTGGAGCAATTTGGAGTCATCCTTCAAACATGAACACACGGGGAAATTGCTATACCAATAGTGTTTTCAGCAACACACTTGTACTTGGCATTATTCTTCTATTCAGTGTATCAGTTTTAATTGTGGGTCATCAGCTACACAGTTCTGAGTGGCATTATCGAGATCTTCCTGGACAAGTTGCACATGAAACACCAAATTGTTTGACATTTCTTGGAGTGTGTTGCACTGGGTCACTATTTTCTTTCTATTCTTTCTCCACTTAATTACAGGTTTAGAGTTATCCAAGATGGTGCCTGTGAAGGTAGCCATGATTCTGCTGGCTACAATTTGATCATTAGTGCTTGTTTAATTTTAGGGGAATCATAGTGATCTGGTTTAATACTAATGGAATTCATCTTTTCTTTTTGACTTAGCTGCAACCCAAACATAGTAAAACATTATCTGGATATAGATCAGTTAGTGTGTACTATATTATGGTAGGGATTGTATGATGATACTGCTGTTGATTGAAGGTATCATTCCAGCAAAGTTCAAAGCATTTTATATTTTATTCTGAATGGTTTGGTCAATTCGTGACAACTCCACTGTTGTTAATGATGTTGGGAAAAGTCAACTGGCTGACTAGGCACTCTCTGTTGCATTTTCATTTGAACAAGGGCAGAAAATTAACTTGTACTGGTTAGCCTGAACCTTGATGGTATACAGTATCATATCACTGAATATTGGTTTAAAATAAAAAGTTGAGTAACATCTTTTCTTATAAGATGTTAAACTTTATTCAAAGCCCCTCATCAACTAGCATTAATATCACATTGTTTAATTATCCTCAATAACACAATTTGTTTGTATTGGACTCAGATTAAGGTATGTCTCCCCCCCCCCCCCCCCCCAATAATTAAAGAAGTTACTGAAAGCTTTCATATAGTGAGTGAAATCTCATAAGTCTAATGTTATATTTACACAAGTTCATTTAGGTATCTTTCATTGTTTCTACAATGGTTGCACTACACAAGTTCATTTAGGTATCTTTCATTGTTTCTACAATGGTTGCACTACACAAGTTCATTTAGGTATATTTCATTGTTTCTACAATGGTTGCACTACACAAGTTCATTTAGGTATCTTTCATTGTTTCTACAATGGTTGCACTACACAAGTTCATTTAGATATCTTTCATTGTTTCTACAATGGTTGCACTACACAAGTTCATTTAGGTATCTTTCATTGTTTCTACAATGGTTGCACTACACAAGTTCATTTAGGTATCATTCATTGTTTCTACAATAGTTGCACTACACAAGTTCATTTAGGTATCTTTCATTGTTTCTACAATGGTTGCATTACAATTGTTCCATACAATTCACCAAAATGTTGTAATAGGAGTTTCTTTTTCTGTAACATTTTAATGTTATATTGTAAACTTACGCAAGACCAGCAATACAGGTTTTGTTGAGACAAATATGCTATCTGTTACTAAGAATATTGTAGGATTATCTAAGGGGGTACTGGAAAAATCAATTGATCTAATGGTATCTACATACTGAATGAGTTTACTATTGAGGTGGTGATATTTCCATGATATTAAAATCATGTAGTTAATAAGTCTATGTTTCAAGAGTGAGTAATTGGTGTCATCATGTTATGGTTGATTATGAAGTTATATATAGCCTTCAGTGTCAAAATGATTAGCATCAGAAATGAACAAGCTGTTGTAATATGTATATCATTTAGAATTTTTCATGGATTTTCTGAAAGTAGTGTTTTAGTCTGTCTTGTCGTAATAGTTTCCTAAAATCCACCCTTTAGTTAACCTCTATTTTCCAGCTTTATAGTCTTAATCTAAGACACCGAGGAAGAGTTATTTGCTTAGAGCTCACCAGTATCACTCTCTGGATATATTGGTTTAAAATAATAAAATTAGTAACATATTTCCTTATTTCATGTGAATCCATCCTTCATCAACTAGTTTTAATCTCGATTTGTTTAATTATCCTCGTGACTGGTGTAAACAACCGGTTATCTATTCAGGACCTTGAATAAGATATATCTTTCTCCATAATTAAAGAAGTTGCTGAAAGCTTTCATATAATGATTGAAATCTCACAAGTCTAATCAAACATTTACACATATTTATATAGGTATCCATCATTGTTTGTACAATGTATTTATTATATTTTTTGGCAAATAATTTTAGCTCATGGAACAAGCACCCCTTCATTTAGGGACATCTATGATTATCTTTTCTTCTTTTCAAAATGATATACTGTATATACTTATTTACGTTTATTAGTTTAAATTTCCATGTTAATTTTTATACATGTTACATTTAATTTTCTTTTTTTTTATATTTTTTATGTAGTTTTCGAGTCTGTAAACATTATTTTATTTATATTGGAATATTTTATATGCAATGAGCATGACACAGTGGTTAGTGTACTGGATTTTTGAATCTGAGGGTCCATGATTTGATGTCACAAAGTTGTGCTTTGCACTTTGGGTGCATTATAAGAGCGACGGTCAAATCCCACTGTTCGATTGGAATATTCCAAGATTTGACGTGGGTGCTGTTGACTAGCTGCCTTCCCTCTAGTCTGTCAGTTCAAAATTAGGGATGGCTATGGCAGGTAGGCCTTGTGTAGGTTTGCGCAAATACTTAGAAGTAAACAAATATATCAATATAATAAAATAGCATTAAGATTTCTAAGTTTATGATAAGTTATAAAAACTAAGTTTTTATGTCTTAATTATTCCTTCGCAATTCTGTTATGATAACCTCATCGTTTACATCAGTATTTGAATTGTCAATTTTAATGGTTGCACTAGAATCGTTCCACATTAGTTACCAAGTGTGCGGAGTTTCTTTTTTTCTGGGACATGGTAATATTTTATTGTAACTTTGCAGTACAGGTTTTATTTGAGACAAGTATACTGTCTGTCGCTAAGGGTATAGTAGATGAAATGTAGAGGAACAAAGATGGTTGAAAGTGCTGTATTTCATTTAGAATATTTCGTTTTTGCTGTTGCTTTCAATATAAATATGTGTGTGTGTATATATATATATATGATCTTGTATTTTTATTTTGTCACACTTTTCTTTACGTTAATGCTGTAATATTCATAAATCGTGCATTAGGATCACAGTATGCTCGGAACACAAAAATAGTGCTGATTTAGCAGCTAGAAATGTGCCAAGTGAACTCGGATATAGATTAAAGTTGAAAGTTGTTAGGCCTTTTTTTTTGTAACACCTCTCTCTACTTTTAGTGTTTTTATGCTCTTATAAAACAAAGGAGTTTTAAAAATCTTTCTTAGTTTGTATATTATATAGGTATGTTAATTTATTCTACAAGATTATCTTCATGATTATTTTGAAACTGGTTCCTGTAAGTATTATGGCTGCAGTCAGTTTAAGCCACTAACCACTAGATGGAGTTTGAGGTAGAAATATGGAATTTGCTTAGGTTGCCATGTAAAAAAAAGTTTCGATCCGTAAATGATTGGTGATTTTTTAGTAACGAATAATTCTTGAATAATTTCACTAACTGTTTGTGTGTGTGTGCATGTGTTTTCAGTCTACAAACTTTGTGCGTTCAGAATGTGTTTTTTTTGTAACATTCTAGCACCTATTAAGCTGTTTCTCTCTGATCTTTCTTCAATTAGGCCATACAGTATGTATGTAGATTTTACTGGTTGTATTACTGAAACATTTATAGATGTTCACTCGCTATAGGTAGTAGCTATGGCAACATAATGCTATCTGTTATCCCTCGAGGAAGCATTTCTGATCTTTTAATTCCTAATGTTATCTTACAATGATTTGATTTGATTTTTTGTAGTTTTAAATCTGTCAAAAAAACAACAACAAAAACGGCTGTATCAAAATTATATAATAGAAACCCCTTTTATTCATAAATAGAATGGTGCAAAAATTCATTACAATAATTGTGTAGGCCACATTTTTGCTGTATTGCAATGAACTATCAGCAAGTAATTGGTGATTTACATGTATTGTTGTAAATGCAAATGTGTTATAGTAAGTTCTTTACTTTGTAATTAACAATTGTATTTATATCTTTTCATTATTGGTTACACTTGTGTAAAGACGAGTTTATGTACGTTACGCCTAAATCATCGTCATTCGTATGTCCAGTTTGAAAAATGCATACTAATAATATATTAACATAATCAAAGAATGCTTACGTCGCGTTAACCGTAATTGAAGGTGAATCATCGATATCCTGAACAGAAGTCGAACCAAGAATCGTGTGAAGTTAGTGTCATAAACGTCCACATATTTAACACGGAGGTATCTTTAGGCTGTTGTTTAAGAAAACTGGGTTCACTTCATTACGATATTTTTTAAATATTGTGTAGTTTATTCAACAGATACTTTAGATCTTTGTTAATCCTGAAATTGATGGTAACGTTGGTACTTTGAAGAAGATTGTTAGTAAGTACAATTTGAAAGAAAGTCATTTTTGAAATTGCACATGATTTTCACAAGCTAGATTTTTTTATCCAAACTGGACTGTATAGAAAACTTGATGTGTTAATCATACTAATGACTTGATAAACTATAATTGGGATATGGCTGAAGTCTTCCATCCTTAATAAACAATTTTCAACCGGCCTCTTACAGTGACGTTACTGGTGCTTTTATAATAGTGATTTTCTTAGGTCATTTTTCAACTATCAATTATGTTACAGTAATTACGGTAGTTTGTTTTTGAAGAGTTAAACACGTGGTTAACAAGTGTGGTCATCGTGTGCTTTAACAGAAAATACATGGAAAAATGGAAAAAGAAATTTTGCACCAGAGAATGTTTGATAAGTAAAATGGAAGATATGCTAGGCCTGGTGCTGATATGTACAGCGGAAACTATTTTTATATTCTTAAACACTAAATCCAAACGTATCTATTATTATACAATGAAATAAAAAGTTAAGACTAATAGTTTACTAGTAACAAATGTATATAGCTCTAAGCCTGAATAAACTCCATCCATTATAAGTTTGGATAATGCTAATCCAGATTTAGGAATTTGGGCTTTTGATTTCTTTGAATATGGATTTTTGACCTAATTGCCGAAAATTTAAGATAGGCGATTAAAATAATTTCGAATTACAGTACGTATATAATATATTTCAAAGTTGTTCTTTTTAATAAAAAAAAGTTGCTTACACGATATTTCGATAATAGATAGCTAAAAATGGTATAATCTTTGTTTTCGTCAATTTTGTATTCAATCTTTGTTAAATAGTATGATACGCTATGTAGTTATTTGTGATTATGCTCGAGATATTGAAGAAAATAATTACTTCTTTTGGTGTTGTTTATTGTTCCATCGTTATGGAGTATATATAGTTTGATAAAATAATATTAATTCTACAGTTTAGACAATGCAGGTGCTTTGAACCTTATAGCAGTGTTTTTGGACGACGTACGTTACTAAACATTAGGACTCTGTGATAAAGTGTTACCCAAAACCAAAGTTAGACGACTTTTTTTTTCTTCTTAATTAGACTTTTGTCTTTCCTGTGCTACTGAACTGGGTAAATACACTTTTAAATTTGTAATAATCTCGCGTAACGTAGTATGCATTCATTGTTATAGTTTTTGATCACATCTTTTGTATTGTTGGACCATGATATATCTGGTTAGTAATGATTTTGTTTGTGTATTATACGTTTTTCAGTGTGGTCAACTCGGTTTATGTATCTCATCTATGTTGTATGTGTAAGTATTTGGGGATAAGCTGTTGAGTATCCACTATTTTGGATTGTTTGCTGTTCTGTGTTAGAAAGTTCATGTTTGGGAATTGTTGGCTTTTGGAAAGTGGATTATGGATATATTTCAAAGAACTGTGAATAAAAGCATGAAAAAAAAAAGTCGAAAGCTTTGTGTACGATTCTTTTTATATTTTTAATCATTTTAGCCGTTGTATAGCGGCTCATAGAATGGTTTCGAGTTTTTTTTTGTATTTTTAAGTACAAACTTTTATCTCATAATTCCATCTCATGACCGATTTGAGATCTAATTACAGCCACAACTATTGAGGATTCCCTCTTGTTTTTTTTTGTTTTTACTAAATTGCATCAATAGCTTCTTTAGTTTTAGAACACCTTTTCGGTGTTTTTAAAAATGTAATAGTATCCTTTTAAGAAATACTGCGTCAAAACAAGAGTTCAGTTATATCCGTCGTGACGGTCTGTTTTTTTTTTACCAGACATTTGATCGTAGTTTCATGGTAACATATAGTTTTTGAGTCCAGAACCACATATGAATTTATTCAGGTAAATATTTTCCAAAGTTACGCTGTTTTATCGAAACAAGGTATCCCTTTGAACACTAATTTGAAACTATTCAATTAAAATGAATTGGAAAAAAATGTAGATTAACTGTGGAATGTTACAAACCTCCAACGACATTAGGCCCACGTCGTTTTTCTGGGCATCGGTTTTCTGGCTTATTCATGAAACTCGCTTATAAATTTACAATTCAAAACTATAATTTTTCTGTAAAAATGTCTTTGCTAAGCTGTGGTTAGAGAAATATAATTGAAGTATAATCAACGTAACTTAGTGTAACTGGAGAGGAAGAGTGTTCCTCTAACTGATCAATCTCAAAAGTAGTACACAGTGAAATAGAGCATGCTTTTTGATGTATTTTCACACATACAAAAAAAAAAAAGAAGATATATATCGCTGTTTATTAACGATTCAAAGGGTTTGGTATTTTATTTTAAAATAATTTTGTAGGTAGTGTGATGCAATAGAAAATTGACCGCTTTTGGGAAGGGTATGCAACAGCTTTTTTCCGACGTAAAATATTCATACATTCGGTTTATAAAAATATCCTGATTGGAATGTAGAATTTTCAAGACGGGGATATTTTCTGCACATAGTGGAATGGGAATACAAAGACATTTGGGGCACCAAGACCATCCAAAAAGAAACCTGCAGCAAGTAACTAAGCGGTGATAAGCAAAGAGTGACGTCTTGTCCCAGATGTGAATCCACGAACACAAAGGTCAGTTGCAAAAGCCGTCCACGCACCCCAGGCAAGAGTAAGTGCAGAATAATGTATGATCTCTTTCTGGAAAAGTGACCAAGTCATGTGTACTTATTTAAGTTGCTTTCAAGACATATCCTGTCAGGTGTTGCATACCTCGAACAGCTGGAGAATGAAATTGGTATTTATGCTATCCCATACGAAGACATACTGGTCAAATTGCTGGACACAGCGCCTATGTATGTATATGTGATCGGACTGTTGAAACGGGTGCTGGGATAGCATTGCCATTGTAGGTTAGATGGTTTATTAAAAGGCTGCAGGGAGAAGCGATGTGTTTTGGACACGACAACCTTACGACGGAAACTTTTCTAATGGAAACTACATGGCGGGGTCGTTGTCAAGATGCACGGTAGTCAGATATGGCATGAGTGGACTTGGTGATTTGGACTATAACGATGTAGTTAAGGCTCCAAAATCGTTTTAATATAACGTACTGAACATTTCGCTGTATATGCACAAGAAAAATATTTACAATTTATATTGTTGAAAGCTGCTTTTCTTTTTTGCAATTATCTGTTCCATACAACATCATACCACTATTACCGTACTATATAAAATAGTACATAAATCTTTCTGTTGAATCTATAATTGGCGGGAAAATCTTTGTATATTATGCCGTTAGAAACTTGATTATTTTAATTGTATTATACGAATGATCGACCATGCTCACAAGCTAATTATTTTGCTTTCAAAACTTCGATCAGTTTTATAAGAATCTAATTTATAAACAACCAAGTTTACAACAGACTCAGACCCGTGAGATCTCAGTCTGTCTTGTTTTTTTTATGGATTACCGAAGGTTGACAAAATTAAAATTCCAATCAGACTATAGTCTCTAATATTGTTCTATTTAATCATGAAGTAAAAGGGTTTTAGTTGCATTTCTCAATGAGTGTGTCAAAAACGATCATACAGTTAAAGACAATTTCGAATTTGCTTCCTTTATTAAAGACTTAAAACTTAATAACCGTTTTTGTGCTAGCTTTGATTTAACATCTTTATATGAAAACGTCCCACTTAATGACTAATAAAACTGTCATCTTGTTTATAAAAATAAATATTAATGGCTTCACTATTTAGTCTACAAACACGTTTCACTTGCTACTTAAGTTTACTACTAAACAGTCACATTTCGAGCTTAGTGATGGATTTTTATTATCGGATTGATGCAATTTCCATGGGGTCAATATCAGCTCCCAATTTGGCTGACTTGCTGCTACGTAAAAAATATTTGGTTAAAGAATTTTTCGGACAAATACAAACCTTTGATTTACAAAGTATATGTTAATTACTTCCTAGAATTTTAAGAGCAGTTCCGTGTTAAGTTAGTTATCGATTATCTCAACCGACAATCTGCATATATTAAATTCACAGTGGAAGAGCAAGTGAATTCAGTCCTCTCCATTTTAAACACTAAAATTAGAAACAAAGGCGAATGGTTTGAAGTCGACAAAAGTACTTTTTTTCCAGTTTATATTTTAATTTCACAAGCTTTACTCCGTCCTTCAGTGGCATAGCGGTATGTCTGCGGACTTACAACTCTATAAACCGGGTTTCGATACCCGTGATGGGCAGAGCACAGATAACCCATTGTGTAGCTTTGTGCTTAACTTCAAACAAACAAAAGTTTTACTCCAAATAGCTTTATAACAAGAACATAGATTTTATTCTAATGCACAGTGTTTACAGTTATGCAGTAGTATTATGTACTATTATGTATTATCAAAATAAATTAATAAAACTCAAAACTGTGTTACCGAAAAATCTGCTTTCCGTTGAAAAATGTAAACAGGATAATAAGGAAAAATGACACTGTCATTTATAACGCACTACGTCTTCTAGCCAGACACACTAGTAGCCTAAACAATAGAGTAAGAAAATATACACTAATTGATGTAAGTATTATTTCCTGATCATAACTAAGAATTCAAAGTTTTTTTTTTTCTTAATTAAGGACAGAATGACTGCTTTAAAACGATGTGAACAAGATTATATAGGTTCAACAGTTGGGGCGTTTGAAACTCGGAAACTACAGAATGGTCGAGACAACAACAATACGTGGCAGGAATTTCGGTGTGAGATCCTCCGAAGTGAAACCTCGGAGGCTTACCGTGGGTGCTCAGAAGCTTTAGCTTCTCTTCACCCTTCTCTTGATGGTGATGTGGGCTGTACTTGAAGTTTTGTGATTTTAGCTTACTTAAACAAGATTGTGTTGAAATGGCAGATTTCAAGATGCCTTAGGAGGGGTCCAGAGAGATATGAATAGGAATCGAGATGATCCAAATATAGTATATAGGTACTAAGCAGGATGATGCCCGTGGCGCCACACTTATGTCTATGGCCACACGCCACGACTCATCTATGTGGTAGAACTCGAGTCTTTTAATACACGAAAAGCAGAGCATGCCCACAATTTTCTAATATGACTTTCATTTTAACATATTTATGAACAAAAGTAATTTTTTGTTTTGCTTCCATATGTTATTCATGCTAATGTGAAACATTTCAGGAACGATATTGTTTTTTAAGGCTAGTGGTAGTGAAACGCGAAAAACCACAATATCGAATTATAATTATATTATTTAAGCACTGGCCGCGACCTGCAAGACAATTGTGGTAATTTTCATTCCATTTGCGTGAATCTTCCTTATTCTATCATTTTAATACATGCCATTTAGGTTATGTTTTCTTGCAGGCAATATGTGCTAGATCAATAAATCCCAGTCTATTTGAAAAAAATATTACGCTGTAAGACAAACGTAGACGTAAGTTTATTTAATAAAACTATACGTACGTAACTTTATATGTTAAAACTACACTTAAAGTAAAGTGGTGGTATTTATGATAGTGTACAGAATATGTAACAGTTATGGGCGTTCGGTATATGACACGATTTTAGAAGTTGAAACACAGAACTAACACAAAACGAAGAATAAAACCCGTAGTAAAGAAAAAAAGTAGCTATAAGGTGTTTATAGCAATCAGTGAAACAACCGAAACTAAACTATTGTAATGTAAAGTTGTAATGAAGGCAAATTTAGCTGAATATGCAGAAACGTCCGAATGGTGTTCACAAAGTGATAAATATATGGTTTTGAAAACTGCGCATACGTATTTTAGATATAAATAAGTCGAGAAAGCCCATAGAAATTGTATTTAGTGTAATGTTCAAATTACATGCAGGTTAAGTATTGTTTGTGTGAAATACTTGCAAATAAAAAACTAAAGTTGAAATCGAAGCCAGTCGTCACATGATGACAACGACATTGTGCCATCGGGTACCATACTCGTTGCATTAAAAAGTTTAACTAAAAAATATTGGTAAGATGTTTCTGAATGGAAAAGCCAATATACAATCCTGACTTTTCAGACAAAGGTCTTTCTAATGACATTAGCAATATGTTTTTCATTATAATTTGTTAGAATTATACTAAAATGAAAATTATATTGGTATCAAGTTTTGTTTTTGAGCTTTTATAGGTATAAAATTTTCTTACAGTTTAAAGCACTTATATAATACAAGTGCTGCAAATTTTTTATTATTTTTTTAAATAGCTATCCTCAACAAATAAAATTTATATTGAAAGAAAATTGCCTTAGTGGCTAAGGCCTAAAAACCGGATTTTGATACCCACGCTTTGTGCTTAACCAAACAACAAAAAATAATAAATAATATTTCCGTTAAAGTTCAAAAACAGTTTGTTCTTATGTTTTACTTTAAGTTATATTATGCTGATACTTTCCTTTACACATTTTCCATTTATGTTCTCTCGTATTGTAAGTCAGCTGACATTTTTGGGGTTTGCGATTTTTTTGTTGTTGTTGTTGCTTATTCAAATTTAATTTAAGTATAAATGTTATCTGAATTAGAGTCTGTTACTTTTATGAATGTCTTAGTGAAAAGCTTAAATGAAAACACTTTTGTTCTGTAAATATAAGAAAAGATAGATTGAGAAGTTTGGTTAATCCCAATTAATAAAAACGATTTACATAAGCCGAGGCAGTGGCGAGTTGCCACCGGTGTGAATTCCCAACCATTCGATGTGTTATGTCGCCACGGTCAGACTTATGGCTGGAGTAGTACTCAACAGTCCTTTCCCAGTAAGGATATTCGTATAGCGAGGTTGTTAAACGTTACAGAGCTAAAGGACACAGTATTTGGAAGATGGGAAAATTAACACAGCAGAATGTTTAGGAAAGTAATGGACTCTGAGACCATACCCCTAACCAATCTGAAGCAATCTCCGAAGAGTGAAAACCGTGGTTACGAAAGATAACGATCCAAAACGCCCTCCTGGAACTACCGATATGATAATAGCCCAGAAGAAAAAGGCTCCCAAGCCAAAAGTCTACAAGTTTCCAGACATATAATTCCTATAACTTAAAAGGAAATGATTATATTAGGATACCTGCAACATAAAGAGGTCTAGACTTGGGTTCTTATAATAGACAAGGATAAGAGGGAAGGACTAGACTTGGGTTCTTATAATAGACAAGGATAAGAAGGAAGGTCTAGACTTGGGTTCTTATAATAGACAAGGATAAGAAGGAAGGACTAGACTCGGGTTCTTATAATAAACAAGGGTAAGAGGGAAGTACTAGACTTGGGTTCTTATAACATATACACCGAAAACATCGTTAACAGAAAGGGTACCCAACTGATGAAACAATGCATTCTAATCTTCATAAGTGGGTACCTAAGAAAAATGTATTTAATCAGCTATAATAATTACCAGTGTGATTTTTAGTCTTTCTCTGAGTAGGTAGCTTGCTCAGATCGGAAGTTAATATGAATCAGGAGGGAAGTGATTGACTAGGATTCTTGTAACATAAGGAGGGAAGGTAAGTTTCAAGATATGAAGATATGTGTTTTGATAGAGATTGAAAGTTAAAAGTCCATGCGTATTTCAAAGAACAAAAGTCATAATATTTTTCAGGATTAAAATAAATGATGCTTTTTTCAGGTTAAGAAAAATTTTTGTTTTAGGGTTAGAAAAGAATATGTTTTGTTTAAGGGTTAGAAGAGATGACGTGTATTTCAGGATTAGAGTAAATAATGTTTGTTCTAGGATATGGAGTAGGTGTTTACTTCAAAATATTATCTTAGTTAGTTTAAATTTGGTTCAGAGTATAAATATGGTATCAGTTTCATATAAGCAAATAACTACATTGGTGTCATTAAAATAATTATTTACCCGACATGGCCAGGTGGTTAGGGCGCTCGACTCGCACCAAACATGATCGCTCTTTCAGCAGTGGAGGCGTTATAATGT